TATTTCTAAAAAATTAGTTCTTAATTAATTACTTAATTAATTACTTCTTTGTTAATTTGTTTTTTTCAAACTGTGAATTTCAAAATTTTATCTTTTCAGACTATTTGCTATAAATGTCTTGATGATATAAAGCTGTTTAATAATATCAAGTAAAACATTTTAGTTTTGAAATAATAAAAAGGACCCAGTTTACTCTTGTATAAATGAATTAATTAATCTTTTTTATTAATAAAAATTTTTCAACATTTCAGTTTAATTTTATTTCCACACTTTGATAAAACATATAATATGTCATGAAATGTTTGATTTATAAGAATATTTATATGTACGAACAACATGGTTACTTTATGGTATTCCAAATAAATGTCAGCTGCGCTGTAATTAACCCGGAAACAGACTAGCGCATTACACAAATTACAGTATCTCTTTTTGCAGCACAACATAAAAAAAAAATGTATTACATGCTGCGCTACAAAACTACGAGAGTCTCGAATGAACTCGAGTCAAGCGAAAAAATACATCACATGCGATGTTTACATCAACAGCAAATGTTTTACGAATTATATTCATATTGAACTTTGCAAATATTCGAGTATATTTTGAATGTGTTAAAATCAAATTGCGTAATATTAAGTAGAAAATATATATTATGTGAGGAATCGAATATTTTGAAGTATCTCATGATAAATATTATGCAATAGCAAAAATAAATTCATTAATGCTATCCTTTATATAATAAACTCTTTACATAACCCCTCATTTCAATGTAATAATAAGCTTTCTCAATTTCTTATTTTGTTTGTTGTTACTATTTCTTATTTTGTTCTTATTTTGTTATATATTTTTTGTGAAACAATTTAGATATTATAAGAACAATAGTAATATTGTTCTTTTGGAAAAGTTTAACATTAATTAACTAGTGTACATAAACGTTTTTATAATTTTCAATGAAATAATTTACTTTACTGATTTATTAACTTTATTTGATATAGATGAATAAATTGATATAAACACATCTGAAAAAGGAGAAGCAAATAAAAGTTGAATAAAAATATGATTTATTTTCAGATAATTGTGTTTAATCCTACTGATTATCCAGATATGACTAGCGGAGGTGTTACGGAAGTATTTGCAATGCCTCTTACCGAAACGTACGTCGATGTGACTCCGACAGCTTTCTTTAGTACTAATATTGTTAAGGGATTTACCAAAGAGAAACGCAACTGCCTTTTTAAAACGGAGACGGAGACGGACCCACAGTTTAACGGTGCGATTTACACTTACAGTGACTGTATCGTCAATTGTAAGATTCAACACATACAGAAAATTTGCGGATGCAGACCGTTTATTTATCCACGTCGTGGGATAGAAGAAAGTTAGTTAAAATATGTATATTTTTCTAATTATTAATGCTGGTTTTCTTCGTATTTACTGTAAATATGAATAATTTAAAATTCAATATATTTTATAACGTTATAATGCATGCTACTGTTTATATGGCTTGTATATATATGTTGGATATTTATTTATGAATTTATTATTAATTAATAATAATTTGATATAATATTTTTCTCTATAGCCGTTTAATTTTATATCATTTATTTATAAAAAACTTTATTAATTTTAATTAAAAATTATTTTATATATTAAATTTATAAAACTGAATAGAATATTTAATAAAATTTATTAAAATGTAACTTGTATAGGCAAATGAATAGCACTCTTTTAGAATTAAAACTTTTTCTCGATTTTTCATTCGCGCATCAAAGTATTTATTATGAATTTCTGTTACATATTGTAATTTTTAAAATGCTAAAAAGAAGTTATTAAGTAATATAATAATAGATGTAATATTAAATCTTTTAGCGATTATATTTTACAATAAGACATTTTCAATTTTTTAAGATTCTGAATTACATTTTGTAAGTTTATAACAGCTTTTTTTAATTCGCTTATTATTCTATTCAGTTTTGCAAATTAAAAATTACTTTTCTTGCAATTCAAATTACAATTCGCAAATAAATTTTTAGATATTAGTGCATGATATTAGTACATAATAAAGAATAGTAAAAACAGAATATGAAATATAAAGTTACACATTTATTACACTTCAGTGTCGCATTATAATAATTTAGGAAATCTATTAAGTTCATTTAATAATGCTATTAAATATGAATATTATATGGAAGAAACATAAATATAAATCAGCTATGCGTTTTAATATCTTGTTCGTAAAAATGAATTCGTCATCAAATGATAGAACATTATTATAATAATAATTATAATAATTGCTAATGACAATTTATTTATTTATGTTATATGGGTGAAACCCAATAAAACGATAAAATTTATATTAACGTGATCAACCTCGAATCGTATTTCCAAGTAATAAACGAGTTTCGATGTTAATAGAACGAACGATAACATCAAACTTGTAAACCCTACATTCACGCGGACTACAGCTTTCATTGGTGTTCTTCCATCTAGTGCATCACAGTCTATCAAGGCTAACGATTTGACAATATTGCTAGCAATCTTTGGAGCAAATGGAGTATTGTATTCTTCCAGCTTTTATTTCCTCCTCAAATTCTCTTTACCCAATCTAGCTTTCATCTTCTGTTTGACAGCAAAATATATAGCAATTTACATATTTTAGAAAATCTGATAAAAGAAGGATATGTAGTTACCATTTAATAATATTATAATTTTTTATATTTTTATAATAATGATATAAAAACATTATTTTGTCAGTTTTATAATTTTTTATCATTTTTAATAGTTTTTTTAAGTATGTGAAAATATGTTATTATAGTACAAAAATTATTGGAAATTTATAAAAAACTATTGAGTTCTATCTACTTCTATTCACTAAAAATAGAAATTCGATAAAAGAAGAGAAATGAAAAATCAATCTAAGTGAACATCCAATATGATAACGTCATAGACAACATATCCGAAGCCAATGAAATTTTTGTCAATTCTTTACATTCTTTATATTCCTCTGACATCTATCATTCACGCTTCGATTTTTCTATTTCTGTTGCAAAGTGAGACAAAATAAAAATCTGCATTAATAGAATAAAATCAAAGAATTGTTAAAAATAAAGTTTTAAACTAGTTTCCAATTTAGAAATTAATTCCATACATCACAAATGTCCAAAATACATCACAAGAATATTCTGAATCGCGATATCTTTAGAATATCTTTGTATTTTGGATATTTCCACTGTATGGGACTTATAACAAAAAATGTAATTACCATAGATAATTTGAATTAAAAATGTAATTGAAGATTACAGATAAAAAATATAAAGCCACCAGATGTAATTAATAATAATTTTTTAATTAAATATAAATTATAAATTATGGCAATTAAAAAGAAACATACAGGTCGTGATAAATGTGATAAATTTTTATCAGACATATTACTTGAGGCCAGAAGTAAGATTTAGTTGGGCGATACGGTAAAGACCGTATCTTATTGGATAAATCAGGTTTCCTCAGACCTGTACACTCTCTTACATCCCGGTGATTTCTTTCGTCTATCACGAAGTCGAGAGACGTGGGCGGCAATCTGTAAAGGAACGTTGCGCGCCGCATTGCGAAGTGTACGCGTTCGCGAGCTTTCTAACGAGGCTTTACCACGGGTGGCTTAAAGCATTAAAGCGGATCGCGTGAAGCACCGTTCTGTAGGATTAACTTACCGTGGCTGGGGTTCTAGCGAAGAAGAGGAACTCGCTGAAAGCAGCGCCGCGCTGCATGCAACGCCGAGTTCCTCTCTCCATTCTTTCGTTTTAAAGCCACCCCGATTGCTCTTTTTCTCGCGCTCCATCGATAGCACAGGGCGTACTTGGACTCGTTTTTCTCACCCCCTCTCTTCCCTCCCTCACTTGGCTGCCTTCTCCGTTCTCCATATTAATCAACAACACGTGCAACGGCGCCCGCACTAGGGCACACTTTCTATCCTTCTTGTATTACTCAACATATGAATATTTTTTGTGCTAATTCTTATTCTTATATTTTTATTTAAATACCCTAATTTAGATTTTGTAGTGATGTTGACATAATTTTATCCAGCGATTATATCATGTCGTATAAAATTTTTTCTCGTTATCATTATAAAAAAAAAGAAATGAAAGGGATTCCTCTGTAATTTTTGTCAATAAATATAATTTTTAATTATATTTAGACATGGCAACACTTTTATAATCTTTTAAAAAATGTAAATTAAAATTTACCTTAACATGTAATGGTAAATTATGCAGTCTAGAAAAAAATGTTAAAATGTATTTATATGTACTTATATTCCAAATTCGTTTAAGATTTTTAAAGAAATATTTTTATATTGTGTAATATATTTATAATATTATATTTTTAAAATCAGAAATATTAGAATTGGATTTTGTTTCAAATTACAGATTCATGGCGTATTTGTACTACCCTGGATGTAAATTGCTTGGCTAAGCACAAATGTAAATTGTTGCCAACATTATTAATTTAGAGATAATAATTTGTTTATACAAGAGACATAATACTTTAATATTTATATTAATAAATTTATTAAATAATTAAGTTAATTAAACATTTTATTTATTTAATTGATATTTACCATACTCTCTTATTTTCGATTTTCTCTGAAACAGCTCTATGGATGACGATTTATCCTCACGAGTCTCCTGAAGATATCTACATAAAAGAAAAGGCTTTGCACTGTCATAATTGTTATCCTGCTTGCGATGACATTAAATATGAGGTATTGAGTTGGAAGAGTTACATGTCTGCCGGTGGATATAATACTAACTTATTGTAAGTATGTAATATTTTTATAGATATAAGGAACGACATTCTTTAATCTCCTTCTTTAAAAAGGTTTCAAATGTAAATATTGCGAAATAAAATTTTAGATGGGATTTCAATGTTACGGATCAAGGGATATTGCATGTATTTTTCTCGAAGTACGGCACAATCAGACTGAAACAAGATGTGGCTTCTTATTGGTACGAACTTATGAGTAAGTATAAATTCTCGAAAGATTCTGTTTGAATGGAAAGGTCAAATTTAAATTCTACAAATCAGAATTCTTAAATATATTTAACATATTAGAAATTTATAAAAGAGCTTACACAACCTTTTTTACAAGATCATATTTTGTTTACACTTTTTCAAATTTTGTAATTATATACTTCATTCTTTTAATTTCGTTTAGTTTTAGTTTTGTAAACTATATTGCATACTAATAAACTTTTAAAGTAATAAAACAATTTAAGATAAATGAGAAACGAGAAATGAGAAATGATAATAGTAGATGTAAAAGATGCAATCGATTTTATCAAATCTTTAATTAAATTTGTAAATATTATATGTGATAGTGCAATACTATATAATTAGATCTTTGAAGAAATTTTACAATTTCTCTCTTTTTACTACTTTTTAATTAACTACATGAGAACTACATGCAAGAGAAAAAAATTTTAAGAAAAACCGTCATTGCTTTCGGTATATAAAGTGATGGGAAAATCCTTTTCATAGTTGATACAAAACATATGAAAAAAGGGCATCACATGAGCAAAGGCAAAGTAGTGTAGAAGAGAAATTTTCTGCATCTTCTGTAGGATGCCCGAGGGTTCTCAAAAATGGAATTTTAATATCCGACTGTGTATAACGTTTCTCCAGTCTAGTCCGGATCTCATCGCAAAAAAAGGATAATACTTCTCACATAGAGCGCAATTTCTAGTTGCTGATGCTTACTTTGCGAACAAATTGCTAAAACGAGGAACGTGAATGATAATCCGAGGAATATGATAAAAATTTTTACTGGACATTCGACTTATAGAAAAATAATTTTAAGTTTAAATAATTAATATACATTAGAAAACAGATGTGCGTTTTTTATTAAACTTCTAACAAAGAGATCTAATACAAGTTGAAAATTATGTTTTTTGACAGTTGAATTTTAGACAGTTTATTTAAAAAATATTTTGTACTAAAACTTATATTTTAGGTTTTATACATATATATTCTTTTTATATACTCTTATATATATTTTGTTCTTTTTATAAATATTCTTATATATATATATATATATATATATATATAATAAATGTATAATAATATAAATATAAAATAATGCAAGAGTATGCATTTTTTCAACACTAATTTTAATATTGTCATAAATTTTACATGTATTTAAATTTATACGAAGGACCATTACTATTCTTTTACTTTAATTATTAATTTATACATAAAAAGTAATGATTCTATATTAATTCAAAGTTGACAAAAGTGTATTAGGCTTGTGCGTGCATACGAAACCGCGCGTGCGCGTGTATGTGTGTGCTTATAAACTAACAAAAAAAGATAGCGTCATGTATCCGCTTTACAAAGATTAAAGGATGGCGAGCTTGTAAAAAGAGAAAAAAAAGGACGATGATATTGCTGTAAAAATCCGCTATCACGCTTTTATAACAGAAATCGCCACTATGTGAGCGTGATATTTTTTTAAGAGTAAACACTAAAAACACATTGCCATTTCACCAGATCATCTCATCCTCCCGTTGCGATCAAGTAGTATCATAAAAGTGATCATTTTGCAGGCGATATCGGCGGTATATGCGGCGTCTTCATCGGCTTCAGTTTCATCACTGCAGTGGAACTTCTATACTTCTTTGCCCTCATGTTTCGCGATTTGATTTATAAAAAGTCAGTCTTGGATGAAGACGATCGCAAGGATGAAATCCCGTCAGTTCAAACTCAAACCGCACAAACAATTTATTGGAACGAACTGGTACCACGATCTTGGAGATCAGCGAAATATGGCAAATTTTCTGTCAACAAAGCTAGATATTGAAGCTGAATTATTAGGAATTTTATTTAAAAAAATTTCTAATTGAAATGATTCCATTTTTTGTCAGTTATTTTATTGTAAATACTTAAATACCATTCAAAATAGTTTGAAAAATATCTATGTTTAATAAAGCAAATGAAAAGTTGGTTTCTCAGAATAAAATTTCAGATAAAAATAATAAAAAAATTGTTACTGTTTATTTTATCATTAAATAATAATAAAGTAATTTTGAAAAAAGCGATAAGAGATTTTTATATAATCAACGTGTGTGTGTGTGTGTGTGTGTGTGTGTGTGTGTGTGTGTGTGTGTGTGTGTGTGTGTGTGTGTGTGTATGTGTGGTGTGTAGAATTAGAATATATAAAATTATCGAAAATCTATTAAAAGGATCGTAAGCTTTATGCAAAAATTTTAAAGAAAGATGTAGTATTATCAAATTTTAATATCCCGTTTTGTGAATATAAAATCAATTTTTACTTAACAAAATTATAAATTACTATTTATTATAATTTTATTTGTGATTTTGTCAAAGTATCAGGCTTAACATTTATGTCCATGACTGCACTTAAAATTATATAACTAATTAATTACATAAATTGACGCAATTATTATGCATACTTTGGGAAAAACATTCACCAGCTGTAGTTTCGAGTCGACAATTGTTGCATAAAGACGATATAGCTGGATAATAAGACATTATTAATGAGAGAAGTGCTAAATAATGAGGCGGCAGTTGTTTACGAGAGATATGAAGGGGCTATAATACCTTCGCTGTAAGAGCATGAATAGGACGTGATAGAAACACGAAACTGCATGGGAATTGTTATCTGCTTCGATGACACTCGCCGGAGACATGTAATTAATTTCTCAGTGTAATTATGGTTTTTGACAGACGTGAACTTACATGAAAAATAGTAATTCATGCAATATAATACCACTTTTATCAAAATAACCATGTTTCATAAAATGATTTTAATAGGTTTTGATCTGACTTTACGAAAATCTAACTAAATCTTGCAATCAATATTTGGCAATTCGATATTACGGCAAATAGAGTCGACTGTTTACAGATGTTGCTTGTCAGTACCAGCTGCACGTGCAATTTCATAAGATACATAATACATAAGATCTGTTTTATTTGAATATTTGATATTTATTATATTATATATATTTGATATTTAATATTTTATCCACAATTACACATATATTCAAAGTGCTCAGATTTTAATATAAAGAGATTTTATTATAAAGAGAAAATTTTTCCAGAGAGAAAATATACAAATTTTTAATAATATTTATGAGCTTTGGATTGTGATTCTTTCATTTATAAATATCAATACAATTTTGTAATTTTGCTGTAACTAGAATTTGAAAGTGTGTATAATTAAAAATTTTTCAATTAATTTTTAATTGCAAATAGACATTACAGATTTACTTTTCATTATTCACTTTCACGTTCAATTTAATTCTCATTTATACCAAGATATCATTTTGAAAAATAACAGTATAAGGAAAAGTATAATCCAATTAAATTTCTTCTAGCAAAAGAAAACTCGATCAAAAAACCTTTCTGAAAGCTTGTATAAATAATTCCAAATCAGCGTGTAGAAATCATTCGAGCGGCAAAGTATGTGCAGTTGTGTAAATTTTTGGTGTGGCGGGATCTCAAAGGAAAGACAAAGTTGGGAGATACAAATATTATTAATGGGACAGGTACTAAACGTTTTGCAGGTTTACCGTTGTATTCGAGAAGAGAACCGAATAACGATGGTTGAAGCGCGGAGGCAACGGAGAAAGAAAAATATGGCTATTATGGTTGCAGTACTATAATAATCTTCTATCACATCGCCGTCAACTATATGTATCCTGCACTGTCAGAGTCAAGAAGAGAGTCAGATTTCAGGAGAAAGATTTATTAATAAAAGCCACACTGCGGAACGCTGATAAGTTATTGATCAAAAAAAAAAAATGAAACGCAGCTCAACCCTAATGCTTGTCTGACAACCTTTTCATTTTTTCCTAGCTTGATCCTTTATTATATTATAGGTTTTCTATCTTAAGATGATATATATTTATATGAAATACATTCAATCAATAGCTTGACATAAAATATAAATCGTATCATATTTTTATCGTATCTTATTAAGCATCAAATATTATACGCAATTAATACGTTTTATTGATAGGTAATTCAATTAACAATATTACTAAAAGTGTATTGCTATTAGTTTTATCTACTCTGTGATGCCGAGATTCATATCACAATAATAAATTTTACAAGACTCTTTTAGTGTATAAATTTATTAAACTTTTGACAATTTTTATTTCTTTAGTTTTAAATTTTTCGATAAAACTTTTTAAATAAAAAATTAATAAAAATCATTGTATGTAAACATTTTGCCACATTGCATAGCATTATGTAGCATAGCTGAATTATATAATAAGTACATACAAGTTTTTAATAAATATAATCTAAAGAAATTTGCGTTTTGTGTCACATCGGACCGATCATCGGCAATAGTTTCAAACTTGTCAAGTCGACGGATGATTACTCGCATTGTGTTTATATTGTTTACTTGAACATCGCAAAACGGAGTCTCACGGTAATCTTGACCAATGTAATTCAAACTTCCCCGCTTTAGGTACATCGAGTAAATATCCGTCCTGGTAAATAAAGCAATATACGTCTACACAACTAGAGATAATGATCCTGCATAGATATTCGGACAAGATAGATATGTGTATGATATGTTTCTCATCTGTATCCCTTTCCTGTGAAAAAAACAGTTGCCAGAAATGTATATATGACACTTAATTCATAGACTTATAACAGAAAACTTTATAATAATTACAATAAATTTTATATATTTTTTTAGCTGAGATTTAAATTTTATTTTAAATCATTACTTTTTTTAATTTGTATTTGTAATTTCAAAGACTATTCAAGCTTTTGCATAAAAAATATGATTAAATAATATGTAAATTAACTAATATTTTATAATTTTTTTATGTGTACTTATTGAGCGGAATAAATTTATCGTACTAATAAAATGTGATAATAATCTTAAATTATGAAAATAAATATTATTTAATATCAATATAAATTAATACGGTTAATTTTTTAAGTTCCTTTTATTATTTGTACATAGGCGGTTACATATATATATATATGTGTATATTTTTATTTTTTGCCAAATATGAACAATAGTTTAAATTAAAAGTTTTCAGCTTTAATATATTCTCTGAACGTTATATTTATTGATATGAATAAATTTGATCGAGTTTGCATGATGGTAAACCTCTTCGGTTTCGATTGCACGCATCTCATGTCTTGCTCCTGTTAATTTCGCATCCGAGGATACGCGAACATATAATGCGAATAGACTCTCTGTGCTTCGTGCGGAGTATAGTCGGTGGCCTGTGTCTGGCGGAAACCAAAGGGACGTGAAATACGAGGGATGTGCGTGCGCGTTACTGCACCTGCGTATCGCACAAATTATTGCAACAGTATTGTCGTATAATTAAACTTCAGGCCAAAATACCGATCATGCGCACACATACGTGTGTTGTTCGGCAATTTTTGCAAGAAACGCTTCATAGAAATCAGACATTTTTCCTAAATCCTTCTTTATTCGTCTTTTTTAAATAGCCTTCGTTAGTACTAAAAATAAATAAATAAAACTATAAAATAAAGAATATGTAAATTAATTTTTAAGATGCTTTTTATATGTTGATTTTATTATTATTCTATTTTAATTTTTCTATATAACTAAATCCGTTATATTCTGCAAATAAAATAATTAATAAGTTATAAAATAAAAATTATTCCTTTTTTAAAAAGTTAAAAGAAAACTGTCATTAAACTTAATTTAAACAGTACAGAAATATCGTCTATTTTTCTCTATATTTATTCCTACTTTATTTTATTATTTTATTTTATTATAAAAAAGCTATATTTGAACCTAATCAATGTGTAAAAATTTAACGAGCAAACTTCATCCTCTTCGTTCGATAATTTGATAATTTGATAATTTTTAAAAAATCGTTAATTGATTTATAAGCGAATAAAGTTTCGTAGGAAGAAGATTATTCCAATATTCCGGTGATTTCATGAACTCCGCAGTTTCTTGTCTCACAAACGCGGCAAATCGGACGCATGTGCGTGGGAGGGATGGATGACCAGTCCACTCGTCGATATTGATGTCGACTGGCCCGAGGGCTGTGGTTCCTGGCTGTCAAAACAAAGTAATTTGTCTGCGAATCCGACGTGCGGATCCACCGTCTCACGTCGCGGCGCGCACGTGGCCTGACTTGTTACAAATAGCCGGGCAACCGTCAGTCAGGTTCGACGGTTCCACTTCGTGTCTCCGGATTCCCAGTGTGCCGCAGCTGTTCTCTGATCGCGGAAATTTCGTAGGATTTCGATCTCGTGCACTGCCGCTCGGGAACGGCGTAAATAATTGCACCCCTAACTTCGACAAGTCACCCTCATGAAAAGAGCAGATCTATTAATCGAGTTAATTTCTTATCTACCTACGTAATTGTAATTAGAGCTTTTTTTTATTTGTACATTCTTTTTTATTTATTGTCTCAAGTCTCCAAATAATCGATACTCGACAAAAAAAATTGAATCACGATAAAGTATTTATAAATATATATATATATATATATATAAAATAAATATATATATATATATATATATATATCTTATATAAGTAGCAAGATTTAAAGCTTTCTTCAAATTATATTAGATCTTTTTAATAATACTGATTTAATATTCAAAAAAATTTATTCATAATTTATTCATTTTGTGTGTATCATTTTGTGCTTAATTTAGATTAGTAAACTGTCTCACTCTTTCAAATTCATTTACATTAATCTAAAAATTTTATAATTGAAAAAAGCAATTAGGAAACATTTAAAATTTAATTTAGAAGTAGTTCTATTATTTTTACTAAGCCCAATACAGTCTATCCATCTATATGTTACAATAGTCGTCAAGTGAACGACTTCGTATCGTGGATGTTTAATATTTCCCAAGATTTTAAGTGGCGATAATGGATGCTTTCGCTTGGCGCGCGCTGGTCAATGGATTACCGAATT